GTAGTAATATGGTATGTAACTATGGTTCATATACGATTTTATTCGGTTTTTCAGTGGGTATTTTTCTATATCAAATACAAGTCGGATCATTGTTTTTATATGGAGAAAAAAGTACTTAGAACATCGCTGATACCGGCTTTTTAGGTGCAATTTGGCGTAATTGGATGGGTTATGAATCTTTTATTTTTACTGAAAAATAGACAAAATTGGGTTATTTCATGTAATATAGGCTTTCACTAGGTTTTTTATACAAAACAAAATTCTGCCACGAGATTTAGCGTGGCCGATTACTTATGTTTCCATTTATTTTCGGTATTGCCACACCTTAAGAAATGTTGATCCTGGGAATCTCAGAAAATCCGATGCCGCGCCAGAGCAGCAAAAAATTAAGGGTCTCCTTAGTTTCCGTTTTGAAGAGGACACTTTGGACTATCTATCTATGAAGAAAGATTGACCTATTTCTATGTTAGTTCTGACAGATCCAAACTGGTTTTCCAAAGATGTGCGCAAAATCCGGTCTTTGAACTTGTTCAAAAATCATTTCTGCTTATGAAAAGATGCGTACAGGTGTTGGCTATTCAAAACTGAAAACTACAAGTCTCTATCTACTTCCGTTACGAAGTTATCCAAAAAGCAACCGCCCGCCTTGTGTTTTGAAACGAATAGTAGTGCCCTGTTGTCACCACAGTGAGTGCATTAATAGTGCTCTAATGACAGACATTTCATTTTGACAACTTTGTCCTCTTGTTGAAAATATGCCGAAAAACTCCACAAAATACTTGCTGTATTTATGAGGCTTACTAAGAAATAACACGATACAACACGACGTAGGTTGCACTGCTTTTACCTTTAAGTTTTTTGGTATTTTGTATGTTCCTTGTTACGACTGTCAAATTGTTTTCGTTTATAATATAACTAAAATATAAATCTCCCGCTATATACATATGTTACGGATAAACTTCAAATTTGATCAAATTTTAAATTTATCCGCTCAAAATACAAATTTAAGGCTTGCCCAGAGTTTATTCAGCCAGAATCTAAATAAGAACATAATGCTGTGAAGATCCATGAAAAAATTAATATTTTATAATTATTCCCTTGTAGTTAGGATCATATAAAGAAAAATGTATGTTTGCTAATACGGACACGTCAAAAAATCAATAACTTTCAAGAGAAATGGTGCAGATGGCGAATTCAACACGAATAATTTAATGGTACAACAGGAGGATCTCCAGGGGATCTTGCAGAATATTGTGAGAAAACTATAGCAAGATGAATACTGGCTATTGAATTATGAAAATCTCTTGAACCCTATGGTTAAACGCGCTCGTGTTTTACGATTTTCATTCTTCTAGTACATATTTTAACAAAAATAATAGCAGATTCGTGATCTCCATCAAAAACTGAATCTATAGACATGTCATTTGTATATTTTTGACGAAAAACAAGTTTCAAAAAAAAAGACCCGGTTTTCTGTAAAATCAGTCTTTCAGAAACTCTAAAAAGTAATCAAAACCTTTTTTTTAGTGAGCCATGATTGTAGCCTGCAGTTTTCTGATTAAAATGAGACATATCCCAGCTCTGCACAATCTCTCTTTGCACAGTTATAGAATTTACAAGAAAAGCCCTAAATTAATTCTTTCTTATTTCTGTAGCTTTGAACTGACAACGAACATTCGGGACTTTTCTTGTAAATTCTATAACTTTGCAAAGAAAGATGGTGTAGAGCTGGGAGACATCTCATTTTAATCAGAAATTTGCAGCCTACAATCATGCCTCATTAAGAAAGTTTTTAGTTATTTTTTAAACTTTCTAAAATACTGGTTTTTCAGAAAAACGGGTCTTTTTTTTGAAAACTTGTTTTTCGTCAGAAATATACAGATGACATGTCTATAGATTCAGTTTTTGATGGAGATCACGGATCTACTATTATTTTTGTTAAAATATGTACTAGAAGAATGAAAATAGTAAAACACCAGCGCGTTTAACCATAGGGTTCAAGAGATTTTCATAATTCAATAGCCAGTAATCGTTGTATGGACTTATCGATTATACTCATAAATTTAATTTTTAATGGGCATTAATTTGGTACATAATACTCTGTGATATTATTTGTAGTTTGAGCGGTACCCCCCTGGAAAAACGTTTTTTTCGACCCTGTACAATGCCATTTTCTTGACGTTCCTACGAAAATGGCACCCTCGATGAATGTTGCTTCATCCAAAAATGAGTAGAGCCGAAGAAAACGAAATCTGATGAATACTTTTTCTTTAGCCTTGCTCAGAAAACATGACAGCTATCTTTCTCCATTCAGCCCAGGTAACATACAGAGGTGGCTAGCGTAGGTGCATTTGGTATTGATTCAGCGTTCTGCCATTGCTTTACCTGAATTTCCTAACTCATTCGATCCGTCAAAGAATGTCTTAAAGAGAAGCATGTAAACAGAAGAAACGAAAGAAACATTAACAACTGATGAATCTGTTTTTTTAACAATTCGAAAAATCCAATATGAATGCCGAAAAGCCATGTTACATATAAACTTGTTTTTATAGTTAGAGAAAACTCATATCACTAGGCAGATTTGAAAAGTAAAATTTATCGTTTCTACTTATGTCTAAAATGCAATCGCAGTTAGAATTGTTACTCGACGAAATTCTGCTCGAAATTTGTGATTACCTAAAAACGTTCAATGTTATTTATATATTCGTTCACATCACTAAATAAACAAATAAATCGAACAATGACCAAGTATATTCAATGTCGTGATTTATCGAATATATCTTTCAAAGAGTTCAACTATTTTTGTAAAGCTGTTTTACCATCCATTAGTCATCATGTTCGTATCTGTTTTTTGTATCTGTTGTTTGTAGTGCTTTCGTATCTGTTTTTACAAGGCCTTCGTAACACTATTAATCGGGTCATATCCTCTCTATGAAATAGCCAGTCACTAAGATCACTAACAGGGCTTTTGTAAGACTCCTTTACACGGCTTTCATAAGGGAGTCTATATGTACTTTTTATCCCAGATATAAATGATAATGCTGTATTATTACAGGGCTTTCTTGACGAATGCTACTTCTCATTGTAAATGAAAGAGAAAACAAATAGAAACAGTAAGAGTGAATGAGTACAATCACACATCATTTCAACTTGAAAAGTAAATATACACTTCGTTACAAAAGCCCTGTAAAAGACTGTTACGAAAGTCCTGTTAGAGAACATTAATCTTCAGCTATTTTACGGTAAAAAGTACACACAGAATTCGTTGCGAAAGCCCCGTTAAAGAGTGTTACGGAAGCCCTGTCATAGCATCTACTTAGACGGTAATCCCTTTGCATTATCGCTACGAAAGCCCTGTTTTTTTAATTTATATCTTTTTAACGTGTTACGAAAGTCTTACTTTCTACCGAGCTTTCGTAGTGCCAGAGGTCTGAATAAAACCTGACCGTATTATTCAGTGAGAAAATTGATATTAGTAAACAGTTTGTCCATTTAGAATATTTGAAATTAATCGTATGTAACGCCGATGAAGCTCCATTAGACGTTTAGGATACTGAGTATTTATCTTGTTTAAAGATTCCTTAGTCTTCGTTTGATATTGCTTATCAAGGGCTATTTTAGTTGTCTGCTATCAGCCAGAGATAGTTTAAATTGATCATTAATTGTGAAAGAAAAAAATCAGTAACGCTGGAAGTCTACTATGAAATCAGTCTGACTCATGATCTATTTTTCCGCGTTGTTTTAATCTTCTTTAGAAAAATGTCATCGGACATAATTAAATATGGCTTAATTATCTTGGTAACAGCGGTGTTGGCAAAAGTTTTTAGCCATCCTTCTCGATCCAGAAATATTTGAACATAATTTTCCTTTTGATTCTATTACACATCATACAGAATATCAAGACATTATTGCTGGATTATATGCTGTATTCAATATACCTGGTCTTATTGAAGCCGATCATACACGTATTGATTTAAATAAAAAAGAAATTTATGAAACATTTGAACAATAACCAAACTCTATTATCGTTTATGTGTTCGGTCATCAAAATGGTCACCGAGAGGATGTTGTGGCATTCGACTCTATCAGAAAAGCTTATCTGTTTAATTCAGATTCATTGGTTCTTGCATTAATGATTTATCAAAAAATCGAAAATAAGACTATGAAGGGGAAACAACTCTTCTGTTACAGAAACTAACTGATATGAAACCTCTTCATATACGCTTTTTAGACCAAATTAATGTTGATAATCCGCAAGAAAAGAAAAATTTAAAAGAGAAATTGTCACAATTAATTACTGAGCATATTCAACAAAATGATATTAAATTAAATGTTGAAGAATTACAATCGCTGAAAGCAGCTATCAAAGGTTGACAAGAAGCATTGAAACATGATAAACAATATTTTCAAAAACTAATTGCTGATTAACAAAAAAACTATAATGATTTAGTGACTCAGAAAAATGAAAATCAAATAATGTAAAAATTCTTTCAAAAGCAAATGGAAGCGCAACTTGAATTAACAAAACAAAGGAATGATCAAAATCGTGAGCATAAAAAAGAGATCCTTAATTTAACACGACAACAACGACTAGATCAACAAAAAATGCAAGAAAAATATGACGACAAAATACAACACATCATAAAACAAGATCAAGAATTCAGTCAGTCACAAGAAACAAAACATGATAAAGAACGAGATGGTAGGAGGCCAGCATGCAGCATCTAAATAAATCTCATCAAGATTTCTAAGTCAATCTTCAAAATCGAATTACTCAGTTAGCTACGCGACCACCAGTTATATATGAAGCTGGGGAAATCCTTTAGAGAATGTTCCACGATTACGGTAACTTTCACAAGATGGACATTTCAGAAGTTGTAAATCTCGACCAGGGCACTTTCCTTCTGGGCGTTTGCGATTAGGCGGAGAAGTGGGGGACCTAACCACCCTAAATTTTGACACTGTCCGCCAAACTTTTGAAGTTTGAACCAATTCTAATACGGAGTAACAAAAGTTCTTTTCAATTAAAGGTACCCGTCCCCTCTTTTTGGGCTTTCCGTAGAAATGCTGTGGAATAAAAACTAAAACTCTCGAATGCTTCATATTTTCAGAACTGATTGGAAACTCAATCGAGCACGTTTTCGTTTTTGTTTCAAGTTTCTAACTATTGCCGTTCAGCACTTTTCCCGAAACTCGCTTTTTCATTGTGTCACATTACTACCTCCCTTAAATTTCATCCGATTGAGTTAAAAATTTTACCATAGGAACTCAGGATCATAGCGCAGAGAAATAATTTTGAAAATTTATTTTAAACCTTTCTTTACCGAGGCATAGGGTTTCTAAAATTTAAAAATTTGGGTTTTGAAAGTTTTTTGGTATTTTTTCTATAACTCGGTAAAAAAAAGTCTAAAATAAAATTCCAAAATTACTTCTCTACGTTATGATCCTGAGTTCCTATGGTAGAATTTTTAACTCAATCGGATGAAATTTAAGGGGATAGTAATGTGACACAATGAAAAAGCGAGTTTCGGGAAAAGTGCTGAACGGCAATAGTTAGAAACTTGAAACAAAAACGAAAACGTGCTCGATTGAGTTTCCAATCAGTTCTGAAAATATGAAGCATTCGAGAGTTTTAGTTTTTATTCCACAGCATTTCTACGGAAGGTCAAACCTAAGGGGGGGAGGTATCCTTAACGATTGTTTCACTTATTTAGGAAAAAACTGTCCGCCGACTTTTTAAAAACGCTGTCAGCTAAAGAAATCTCCCCATCCTGATTAAAAACAATCGGAAAGTCTGGGCACTTTTTGCATAACAGTGTACCTTTTTAGCGAGCAATTGTTATCATAACGGTAGTCGTAAAATAGCTGAATATTACTACATATACGCCCTATTCACTCAGCTTTTACTGTTGTCTTTACATAGGGGTCGACTATTTACTAATTTATTAGCCTACATTAATTTTAAACTTTAATAAACCACTTTTTTCCCCAGCAGGATAGTATTCAGATAGTTTCGAATATGGATAAGTGCTAATGTCGCTGACCAGATCAGGCTCTGCCATCTTCTCACTTATTTGTCCTATGATCCCCCGCACAACAACATTTGAATCAAAACTAGCCTGAATTATGAATGTGGACGGCTTCAAACATGCAAACACCATTTCAGGTTGTCAAAATATATTAGACTTTCATATACGCCCTGTCGTAACTTGATTGTCTTACTATGCACGGAGTTACTGAGAAGGATAAAATCTTTCATACTGAACTGACAAAGCTAGAGTAGCTAACACAATCGTCCAACGATCTTTTGACATCGTAGAGTAGAAATTTGAAGTAATACTATGATATGGTAAATTCGATGTATAATAATATGATATACAGTGTTCATTAGATAACGGTCTCAAGATTCATTCGACAGAATTAAAACAAAAATCTTCGTTCATCATTTGCATTCCTCTCCATTTATCCATTCACTATCATATTCATTCCCATCTTTATAGGTAACAACACCCCTACCAGTCATTTTACCCTCAACGAATTCACCATCGTATTTATTCCCATTATTATAGACGAAAACACCTCTACCAGTCATTTTGTCATCTGCCCAGTCGCCATCATATTTATCCCCACTATTAAAGATAAAAATACCTCTACCAGTTCTTTCTCCATCTGCCCATTGGCCATCATATTTATCGCCATTACTATAGCTGAAAACACCTCTACCAGTCATTTTACCCCCCACGAATTCACCATCATATTTATCACCATTATTCCAGGTGAAAACACCATTGCCACACTTCCTATCCTCCACGAATTCACCATCGTATTTATCACCATTATTCCAGCTGAAAACACCTCTACCAGTCATTTTATCATCTATCCATTCACCATCATATTTATCCCCGCTATTACAGAAGAAAACACCTCTACCAGTCCTTCGTCCATCTGTCCATTCACCATCGTATTTATTCCCATTATTATAGACGAAAACACCTCTACCAGTCATTTTACCCTCAACAAATTCACCATCGTATTTATTCCCATTATTATAGACGAAAACACCTCTACCAGTCATTTTGTCATCTACCCAGTCACCAGTATATTTATCTCCGCTATTAGAGATGAAAATACCTCTACCAGTTCTTTCTCCATCTGTCCATTCACCATCATATTTATCCCCATTATTATAGATGAAAACACCTCTACCGGTCATCTTACCCTCAACGAATTCTCCATCGTATTTATTCGCATTATTATAGACGAAAACACCTCTACCAGTCATTTTACCCCCCACGAATTCACCATCATATTTATCACCATTATTCCAGGTGAAAACACCATTGCCACACTTCCTATCCTCCACGAATTCACCATCGTATTTATCACCATTATTCCAGCTGAAAACACCTCTACCAGTCATTTTATCATCTATCCATTCACCATCATATTTATCCCCGCTATTACAGAAGAAAACACCTCTACCAGTCCTTCGTCCATCTGTCCATTCACCATCGTATTTATTCCCATTATTATAGACGAAAACACCTCTACCAGTCATTTTACCCTCAACAAATTCACCATCGTATTTATTCCCATTATTATAGACGAAAACACCTCTACCAGTCATTTTGTCATCTACCCAGTCACCAGTATATTTATCTCCGCTATTAGAGATGAAAATACCTCTACCAGTTCTTTCTCCATCTGTCCATTCACCATCATATTTATCCCCATTATTATAGATGAAAACACCTCTACCGGTCATCTTACCCTCAACGAATTCTCCATCGTATTTATTCGCATTATTATAGACGAAAACACCTCTACCAGTCATTTTGTCATCTGCCCAGTCGCCATCATATTTATCCCCACTATTAAAAATGAAAATACCTTTACCAGTTCTTTCTCCATCTGCCCATTCACCATCGTATTTATTCCCATTATTATAGCTGAAAACACCTCTACCAGTCATTTTACCCCCCACGAATTCACCATCGTATTTATCACCATTATTCCAGCTGAAAACACCTCTACCAGTCATCTTGTCATCCGCCCAGTCACCATCATATTTATCTCTGCTATTAGAGATGAAAACACCTCTACCAGTCCTTCGTCCATCTGCCCATTCACCATCGTATTTATTCCCATTATTATAGCTGAAAACACCTCTACCAGTCCTTTCTCCGTCTCTCCATTCACCATCATATTTATCCCCATTATTATAGATGAAAACACCTCTACCGGTCATCTTACCCTCAACGAATTCACCATCGTATTTATTCCCATTATTATAACTGAAAACACCTCTACCAGTCCTTTCTCCGTCTCTCCATTCACCATCATGTTTATCCCCATTATTCCAGGTGAAAACACCTCTACCAGTCATTTTGTCATCTATCCATTCACCATCATATTTATCTCCACTATTATACATGAAAACACCTTTGCCATGTCTTTTGTTAGTTTTCGTTTCTCCTGTATATGTTCCAGAATCATATTGTACTGTTTCAAGAACATTGTCATTTAGTTCTTTTAAATGAATAACTGAAAGTCCGCCCTGATGATGCAGTTTTGAACCCACCTGTAACCGTGTACCGGGCATCAGTATGATTTCTTCCTCTTTGGAAAAGGCCGTTAGTGATGAAATATTCTTTCCGTTCGAGCATTCAATGAAGAATAATGTTGCATCTTTCTCGCCAATAAACGACTTAATGACATCCACTGATAGCGAGCATGAATTGACACTCCACCATGTTAAGTTTTGTCCTTTAGTATAACTGTTACTAACATCATCTGGAACACCACGAAAAACCGTTGATTTTACCGACGGTAATTTATTAAGCGCCGTATCGAGTAGTTTCAGATAGGCAAACCAGTCCTTCAGAGCAGGTCGATATTGATCCCGCAATGCTCTGTTCAGTACACGATAAAAACTATCGTCTTCCATTTCCATTGTATACAGATAGATCGATGCTGATTCATCGCGGGTCATGGATTCGTTGGATGTGTTACACTCCTCTTTCGCTTTTTTAACATAACGTTCTAACTGTGAAACTAATTTGAATAGAGGTTCAACCGCGGTATCCAATGGTAACAGAGGTGAAGATAGATAGCCATAAGCAGCCGGTAGTTTTTGGTTTGATGAATCTATATCAGTAAATCGGACAGGCATCCCAGAACGAATCTATTTGGTTAACTGAATAACCAAAAAAAGAAATGGTATGACTTGAAAATCGAGTTAAAATTGATTCGCGTGAGGAATATTGTACAATGTAACATTATCAGTAGTTTTAGACTTCCTCACGGTCTTGTACAATTCTTGAAGCACAGCTAGTGTGAGAGTTACACCTGAAGTATTTCCCAAGATTTTTTATAGCGGTTTGTCACAGAGAGTTTATTCTTTTTTTGTTTAAAAGAGGAAAAGAAACTACATCGTCTGACCGGCGCCAATTTTTGAATTAGGTCTGAGTTTTTTATCTAATTAAGGATTTTTAGGAAATTGGAGGTTGTTGGTTGCCTGGAAAACCATTAAAGGCTTGATTGAAAAATTCGCGCCGGTCAGACCATATAGTTAGGTGTCTAGCTTAAAACAAAACAAATCCGAACTCTCCAGCTTGAAGTATGTTAAAAAATCTTGGAAAACACTTCAGGGTCCTTTTTCGACCTAGATCTGCGGAAAACTGTTGAACAGTAAGACTTGTTGACACAAGAACTTTTTATTCCCGTAACTCATTAAGCAAAATATTTCTGGAAAGTTTCGTTAAGATCGGATTTACGGTGTCGAAGATAATTTCTGAGAGGAGGAGGGACCCCTTGAGCAAGAGTTTCGCAACGGCAAGTTTATGGAGATGAGCGCATTTGGTCTCTGCCCAGTAGTACCAACGGACCAGAACCAAGAGTAATTATTGTACGGAATCCGAGCCCAAATCAATTCTTTAAAAGTTAGATCAGATACACTATTTTGTGCATAAACTTGAATTTTTCTGAAAAATCTTTCTTCTTTGAAAAACTTAAAAATTTTCTTAAAAATCCAATATATGATCTTTTTAAAGACATGTGAAATTTTTTCTATGAGGTAACAGCTGGCTTTCAGTATTTCATGAGATTTGCAATGACTTCTTGAGATTTGTAGGGCTTTGATGCAGTCAGAGCAGAATGAGATTAATAATATGTTTAAAAGCTTTCTTAGTTGGCATATTGTAGGCGATGCTGACTGAACAATTTTCAAGTTTTGGTTGAGAAAAGTTCAGTTTTTCTATTAGAGCATTGTCGACAAAAGTTGAAATCTTTTTTGATGAATTTACGCCATGTTTCTGTGCCTTATCTCCGACACAATTATTTTAAATGAGTTTTTTGCGGACTGAAACTCAAATGTGGAAAAAGCCTTATATGCTATTATTCAACTACTCACTCGTTTCACTTGTAAACAAAGGCAGTTTATATAAAAGAACAAAAATAATGTACTGCTTTCAAACTTCTTTTCAACCAATGATCAATTGTTACGTCGTACTTAGGAAAAAAAGAAAGGAAAAAGAAACAGAATTCTTTTTTTTTGTTTGAAAAATACACACATCTCACGGCTTAACAACCAAATTTAATCATTTCTATTAAAAAGAAAAAGTGCTATGAAACAAAAACGAGTTGAAAGAAAACAAATTAAAATTGTGTTCACCGCATGGTCTGTTCTTAGAAATAAATTCATCGTTTAAGTGAGTCTTGTATATTGGTGCTGACGGATTGTTTAACGACGATTTATACTGAAGAAAAATCGGTCGAACGACGCAAAGGCTATTGTTTTGGTTCAAAAGTTAAAAATGACAAGCTTTTGTAATAGTTATTATTCTCAGAAGCCTTTATATAAGCCTGATAATTCTTGTAAAAGCTTCCTAATTGTTGCTGTTCTCATAAAAAGTACACGATATGTGCACACACGTGTTTAAAATTTCTCACATACAATAAATTTATTAGATACGATGAAACTGAGACAGCACTTGGGTATTGATAGTGTTATGCAGTAAAACTATTTTCATTAATTCTCTAACTCCTTCACTTTTTTCAGTAACAAATTCCTATGCTCCACATTCACAAAAAATACAGCTATATATAGACATCACCGAACATCAGAGAAAGGATCAGAAAAGGACCTAATGACACCAGAAGAACTGGCCGGAACATGGCATCATCAGATCATGACGCCAGAAGAATACGAAAGAATATGTCATTTACTACTGATCGGACTAATGACGTCAATAGAACAGAGAGGAAGAAAATGGTCCCCATAAACATATGACTTGCTTATGACACAGCACGTGTATTTTTCAGATTCAGTTTTTACAGAGAACAAGATTAACAAACTTCCTAGGTTTCCAAACACATTGTAGTCGAGGTTGAATGTCCGGCGTCTTACAAAAAGAAGAAATGAAAAAACAATCCTGATCACAGACGGCTGTCTGCTGGGAATAAGCAGTCGGATTTTAGTCAGCATAAGAACCTTTTTGGTTAGTAAAATAGCTCGCTGCGGCTGATGAAATATATGTACTAGAAACGGCTCAACTATAAAACAAAGCAGTGTACATTATCTTTTAAAAGGAACTAAAGTGTGACACAATACTGGTGTAATTTGCATTACCGCTTTTCCTTCATTTTTCGTACTTTCACATTTACGCTTTTACTGTAATAATCTGTCCTTCATGACGACGAGAAGCAAGATAGAGCTAACTTGACGCCGGTGTTATCGACAAAGATGCTGAGGATGTTGGTGCCACCGCAGTCGATGATACTGACAGCGTTCCTGTAGCCGCTGCAGTCGTTATTGTATTACCATGAACTGTAGTGCTTCCGTGGTCGACATTGTTACTACGACACACAAAAATTCCAATTGGATCCGCTACAAGTGGTGCACAAACAAAAAATACAATGAAATCTGTTAATATCTTATATGATGGTCCCTCGTTTTCTAGCTAACGAAGGACCATCGTCAGATGTAATACTGGGATTTCAAAGATCGTTGGTACGGTTTGTACAAGCAAAATTAAAAGATTCATAACTTTTGAAAGAAACAATATGGACACCTATCCTTTTAGGTCCATGTTTTGTCTTTTTTACGTTACACTAGTAGCAAAAAATATGATAGAAGAAATATAATAGAACCACTGACACAGCATGCGTCTCTTCCGTGTGTCTCTTCCAAAAAATTGGAAAAAGAAAATCCCGATCCCGTTCAACAGCTTAAATCCCGATCCCGAAGCCGCAAATATTTGTCCTCCTATCCCGCAGGGCTCTAACAGGGAGCCTGGCTAAAAAAAACAAGTATCACTTCTCACATTGCCATTCGTTGCATCACTCATACGTGTTCAAACAGTCTGAAAGTAAAACGACACCTAGACTGAATATGTTGAAAACGCCGAGCTGCCCTGTTCCAACCCGTTGACCGAAAGCTTTCACCAAAACTATGTGAGGGCGCATTAAATCATTTAGGGATGCCTTCAAAATTGTTACCACTTGAATCGTTTCAAGCGCTTTCGATCTTTCGATACATATATTCACAAAAATCAAAAAAGAAAAGTGAGAAAGGATAGAGAGTGAACAAAAGATATTTTTCTAAATAAAAGCAGAGAACGAAAAAGAACCATAGGATGTTGACATGTGGGATACACGATATATATATTACTTCTAAGTTTGAAAATCCATTTTCTTTGGATCGAAATGTTCACTGCACTCACTATGAAATTACTCTATATTCTGTCAACTTCACAGATTAAAATAAAACTAACCAGAATGTACCCCTCCCCGTTTTCTATGTTAGTTTGATTAAAGTACACAAGCTATACTATACGCCGAGCCCTTTTTTAAAAAGGGTACAGTCTACTGTACGAGATACAGGACTGTGAATAACGGAGCTGAATATGAGACAAAGATGTACTTTTTCTGCCAGTTAACAAGCGAAATCATTTCTTAAGAGGGGTTCTTGAC